ACTGTCATGCATATGCATCACATATCGACATTTCCATCCTTGCAGTGTCCAGGAACTTTGTCAGAAAGGACCTCGATAAACAATAATGCTTGTCATCAGTCCGGTGTAGCTCAGGGTTCATATCATGAAAGGAGTACATAAAGTTTTTTTTGTGTCTGTCTGTTTCATTCACAGAATAACATATTCTTTCACTTCAATCACCTGCCTTAATATTTATCATGTTCATTTACACATCACTCATGCGCATTATTATCACATATTGACATTCCAGTCCTTCCCGACAGGAACTTCATCCCCAAGGGAGCGACCTAGCTTAAGTCTCGTAAGGCTCAGTGACAGAACATCCAAAACACTAATCGGAGGGTCGTAGGTTCGAGTCCTATTAGCAGCTCTCGAAGTTTCTTTTTTCTTCGAGTAGGCCTGCATCATTTACTAAATAACATCTTCCTTCAATTAAAAATTTACCATCTTCATGTACATCGGTTTACTGGCATAAAAAACGATTGGTTTCTATCAAAACACACAAATGATTGAAGTTTGAAACAGTGGTTGTGGCACAACAATCGTTGTCGTTATGCTAATGTTATGGGGAAATCCGGCAAAAGAGTTTTTCGGAAAGGTCTCGTAATTTCCTCGATCAATTTTTCCAAAACTTTGGGATTTTCTTTTTTGCGATATAGCTTCGCTGCTGAGTGAATTTTAATACAATAAATCAAGTCGTTTTAAAATTATGATACCTGTAATTTTACAGTTGACGTAAAAGCCGCGACACGGTACAGTTTACGGAATGAGCTCTAAATTACGTACAAACTAGATGTTATGGTCTGCCTGTGCATTTACTGTATATATTAATTGATTTAATGCGCACGCATAGGTTAAAAATAAAAAGCATGTTGAGTTACCGCTATGTTGTCTGGATGTGTTTCTGGATTTCTTGTTAGTACATGACATTAAAATTTCATAAAACCACGCCGTCGATCTATTTACAAGATTGCGAGCCACAGTAATAAATAAATAGGTACTGTCACTATTTAACTACGTGATAAGGAAAGATTCATGAATTAGCTGCACCTTTGCCATAAATGAAAATATTGAAGGCGAAGATGCCCCTGTGATGATTTGACGTCTCGTAGTCGACAAATCAAATCATTGAAATTGAGAATACTCCCTCAATCAGCTTACTTCTCCATAGTAGAGAAGCTTCCCTAACAACCCGAAACAGAAGTAATTGTGGTATGAAAAACATCCAATGAGAGACTGTGATACGACTCAGAATAAATCGGTGGGGCAGGTTAGAAATTGATCGAAGGGGGATTTTGAATTGCAGAATATAGCATCTTCGAAGAAAATTTCGAGTAAAAGCCCCTAAATGAGTCCATTCCTGTTCCAGAAAGATGAAACTTTGATCGATTCAAACCTTAAAAGAGATCACTTAAATTGCAGTTCCACAGAGACCAGTAAAACAGTATAACAACAATCACTACACAACTGACAACTAATCTCAATTGTCAATACAACGTTTTCGTTCCAAAACAAAATATCTATGATTCTCGACATCTTCGTCTAGTCTTTATCGAAACAGACAGAGAATACTATTGCTTGGAACGTTCCAACTCCTCATGTGAAGTCCATGCC